CGCACCTGCTCCCCAAGATGTGTAAGTATACCAAGTTTGGTAGCGCTAGGTCAATTAGGGGTCGAGTTATAGAGCGGAAGAGAATATGATCAAGGTCAAGGTAAAGGTCAAATAAAGGTCGCAGTGACCTGGTTTTAGAACGCTGCGCACCTTCTTCCCAAGATGTGTAAGTATACCAAGTTTGGTAGCGCTAGGTCAATTAGGGGCCGAGTTATAGAGCGGAAGAGAATATGATCAAGGTCAAGGTAAAGGTCAAATAAAGGTCGGGTCGCAGTGACCTGGTTTTAGAACGCTGCGCACCTTCTTCCCAAGATGTGTAAGTATACCAAGTTTGGTAGCGCTAGGTCAATTAGGGGTCGAGTTATAGAGCGGAAGGAAAAGTGTATGCGGTGGCACCGAGCGGCGGCGGCGGCTGGACAGACATGAATCGAAACCATAGTATCATAGGGATACAAATATAAGCTTTAATTGTCATCATAAAAATGTGAAACAGTTAGTGGTGGTGGTTTTAGGTCTGTTATCATCCTTTGTTTGCATTTCGTTACGCTAGTTTATAATTATAATTCAATAGACAAGCCACGCGAATGAAAATACCTGTAATTTTGACTACGAAAGTTATCAATTAAGTCAAGTCGTGTTAATGTGAATGAATTGATATATTATAGTAGACAAATGTTCAAGTATGTACATACACATTCACTCAGACATATAAATATGTGTACCCAACTAAAATAAATTAATATTATTAATATGAAATCATATTGGTGGGAATATTTTAAATAGAACCAAGTTCCTCTTTATTTACAGTATATATATACACATATATATATATATATATATGATATATATATATTATATATATACACACAAACATGCACGCATGCATGCGCGCGCACGCACACACACAACAACGTGCGCATGCACACCCTGCATGCGCATATGTATATAAAATGAAATAGAACAAAGAACTCAAACTTTTCCACTAGGTTAAAAAATAGAATGTTTACTAAGTTTCCAAAATAAATTCAATTCCATGAACTATTCGCATACAATAATAATACTGCGTGAGTTATTCTCGCAAGTAACGGCAAGAAATCCATGCAGAGATTCAATTTAGTAAACACATATATTAACCCTGTGAGTATAGAGGTTCCCCTGTGTCATAATAGGGCTTCTCTGTTATACTGTTATGCAAGACTGCATGAAGTCCAATTTTACATGTGTAAAGCAGAATGACAACCTTAAACCTTTTGTGTAATCCAAATTACAGATCCAAAATGAGTATGACTGTCTTCTGGAAATTAAAGACTAGAAAATCTATCAATCAACTGATCAATTCATTATATAGTTAATATATGTGTAAAATACATATGCATGTATAATACATATAATAATCACGGAATTATATAAAAGCTACCTACTATCAGGAGTAAGATAATATAGGATATCCTATATTATCTTACTCCTGATATAATGTAATATCAGCTCTTGGTATATATATGACACCCTACCGCCATCTATCGAGAGCAAAATTAGAAACGCACATTGGCAGCATGTCTGACAGTGACACTTCGTGAGCTAACTGTGTGTGACAGCGAATTATATTAAGAAACATGTTCAAAAACAGAAGACCGCATATGCAAAGCATTGGCATAGAGTGTTGTCAGTTAAAGTTTAACCATTAAACCATGAATAAATACATATGATATGATAATTCAATAATACATATGGTAAACACATTCATTCACATTCCACAGCAGCATCACAGAATTCGAATCAATATACGGCAAAGATCGACGACATTAGACACGTAGTAAGCCGAATGCTAATTAATGCCAAAGGTGCAGTAAACCCGCTCGAGAGGTTACAGTATAAACGCGAATAATGCACATTGATCGTGTCAACCGAAACATCGCCGGAGTACGGCCGCGGAGAGTCGCACGTCCCACCGACATACGTCACAGCCAGTCGATCGCGCTCTGACGTACGTCACAGCCAGTCGATCGCGCTCTGACGTACGTCACAGCCAGTCGATCACACTGACGTACGTCACAGCCAGTCGATCGCGCTCTGACGTACGTCACAGCCAGTCGATCGCGCTCTGACGTACGTCACAGCCAGTCGATCGCGCTCTGACGTACGTCACAGCCAGTCGATCGCGCTCTGACGTACGTCACAGCCAGTCGATCGCGCTCTGACGTACGTCACAGCCAGTCGATCGCGCTCTGTCGTACGTCACAGCCAGTCGATCGCGCTCTGACGTACGTCACAGCCAGTCGATCGCGCTCTGACGTACATCACATCCTGTTGATCGCGCTCTGATGTAAGATGTCGTTACGACCGCCCATCTCCAAGTTGATGCGCGAGCAGGTCCCGACCTCGCCCTGCCACTCGTTCTCCTCCGGCCTCCTCCTACAGCGCTGCAGAGTGAACCACCGCGAACACAGCGAGACGAGACGTTCGAAGAAGAACGCCAGCGTCGAGAGAACAATCCCGGAGACGAAGAAGATGAACAGCGATCGGATGTCGCTGAGACGGAACTGGTCGTAGTGTTCGTGCCGCACGGTGGCGCCCTCGTTCCTGCAGCGCAGCTCGCCATAATACGTCGCGACCCAGTGATTGACGAGTCCGGTCGAGTAGAGATGCGCGATGCTGAAACAAGTGACGTAGACCGCGATGCTGAAACAAGTGACGCAGACCGCGATGCTGAAACAAGTGACGCAGACCGCGATGGTGAAACAAGCGACGCTGATCGCGATGCTGAAACAAGTGACGCAGACCGCAATGCTGAAACAAGCGACGCGGATCGTGATGCTGAAACAAGCGACGCAGATCGCGATGCTGAAACAAGTGACGCGGATCGTGATGCTGAAACAAGCGACGAATGTAACATGATACATATTAAGCAAAATTAATTAGTGCGAAAAAAATCTCAAAATTACATTTAGATATTTAGCATGTGTACACGTGTTTTCTATTTAAGATTTAAGTTGCAAAAGAGTTCGCCACCCGGATGAGGTCACACCTCAGTAATGAAGAATCTATAACTATGACGCACCCTGTATTGACCATCTCGGCGTAGGGACTTCCCTTCCGCACAGGGAATGCGGTTGTCGTGTTGAACAGGCCGTCGGTGATGATGAGATACTCACACTTGCCCGTCTTCTTTCTCTCTCGGCTCATCAACCTGAAAAAATTCGTCGGTGTAAGGTCACCGCTGACCATTATCGGATTAACAATAGTAGCAAAAGTAGCATTTACTATATGGGCCCCGCGGTTTTAGGGGGCCCCATGGTTTAGGCGGCCCGTAATATCATTAACTATCTAATAGTTAAATTTTGTTATTATTATCATTATTATAAAAAAATATTTTAGCACACATGTAAACTTGATACAATAATGAGTGCTGGCAAAGTTTATTTGTCAGGAAATCTATTACAAATGTATTAGATTTAGATTAAGTTGAAATTGTGTTTTAATATATATATTTTTTTAATTTAGGGCTGCTGTATAACATGTGCTACGTACAGGCACCGCACTAGCCTAATCCGACCCTGCCGCTGACCAACGCAGCGAGCCTTTGTGTTCGCACGAACACTGCAACAATCCTAGATGAGCGATTATTGATTCTCGAATCTACTATAGAAACGGGCGCTTGGTTGGTCGATGACCACAGCTGATTTCACAGAGCTAGAATAGGATTGAAGTGATATATGGGTGCTTCAATTGTCAAGTAACGATAAGCGAGCGTGTGGATTGATGCAGTGCATTGGATAGTGTTGTTGAAGGCAGTCTTTAGAGGCTTGCTACACAGGTTAGTGGAGTGCTGACTCATGCCACGTATGCATTTCGCACACAATCAACATGCGCCGCTCGTCATCGTCAGGTTTCGATGTATGTACTATCCTCTACACACAAGAGATGCTGTTCAGTAGATAAACAACATTTAGAAAAGCTAGAATTTACGTAATGTTGTGATAGTATTCCCTCTTGCTATTTATGAAGCGTCAGCATGTGTTTACTTTGCGAATATTGTAAACAGTGCAGTTTTGTGAGTGATTGATTGTAGGTGAATATAGTTAATAGACATTTGTTTGATCATGCTTCTATGTAGATATGTTTATTATCATCGTAAACGAGTTTCCGATCATCAAACAAACACCAGATCCGGTGCACTTAGGTGAGCAATTGCAGACAAGACAAATTCAATAAACATTTTGCCTAGCATGCCCGCTTGTCGAGATACAGTCACATTCATGTTAGCAGACACCTCTATAGAATGACCACCCAGGGGCGTGTACAGGGGAGGGGGGTCCAGGGGGTCCAGACCCCCCCCTGCTCGCGCAGAAAACGCATCTAAGCCAGGGGGTCTAATTTCAAAATTTTGACCAGACCCAGACCCCCCTTCGCGTGCTCGCAAGTTTGGCTTACGGTTAGACCCCCCCCCTGGTACAAATCCTGTACACGCCCCTGCCACCTGTCTACAAAGAACACTGTCATGACATGTATTCCTTATTAATATTTTATTACGCCCATGCTATTCTGGGTATGTTGGAATGTGCATGTGCTGCCCCCACGACCTGAATAGTTATTTATACACGTTGTGCCGGCACTTGTTTTAAGAAGTGCATGATTATACACGTTCTGGCGGCGACCGGGGCCTTTTGTTTGCTAGAATGTTTGAGAGTTGCCACGTCCAAAGCAGGCTGTCTATTGCTTGGCCCTGATAATGGTTCAAATTGCAAGGCCCTTCAGTAGAAGTTATCCGGCCTTCTGAAACCACATCTATGGATCAGTTATATGGTTCTGTTTATAAAGGACACCTTTGAAGTGCCCCTTGGGTTACCCTCATATACAAAATTAACAAGTATTACACCTCTCAAGATATAACTCCGTGGAAATAAAGGCATGGTTGTGATTGAGCACGCGTTCCAAAGCGTCTTTCGTCAGCCGATAGGTGCCGTTCTCATTCGACGACACCATCTTCCATATGCGACGATCGACGTCGGTCAGTCCTTGCTGGAAGAGCAGACGAGATAGGTTCAAGGTCGTGCAAAGCTGTGCCAAGGTCACAGGAAGCTGAGCATTGCCTACGTGTAATCTCATTCCACATCCCTTAACCGTATAAACCATATCGTGAGCTGCCTCATGTTGCCAGTCAACCTCGAATTAAAATTTTTTTCCTTTCAAATGAAATTAGCCGTTGTTATGCTAAACAGTGAAACCGATGGCACGGTGTAGCAACTTTCCACGACTTTTTTCAAGCCAGTTTTTGCAAACGCACGAAACATCAAGGGCCGCGATTTTTACCCGCAGACGAAAAACGCATCCACAATACTATCGTGCATCTTCTGATCTCACCTTGAAGTGCACCTCCCAGTTGTTGCCGCGTCGAAACATGGGTTGGATGGTGGTCTGGTACGCCAGGTCCCTCAGACTGCGCACAGGCAGCAGCAGCGGCGGCGGCACAGCGAGGAAAGCTATCAGGTTTCCACTGTAGGTGGCGACAACGACCAATATGAAGAGCATCCACGCTACGACGACGACTCGGCTCGACAATGCCTTAGGAGGTGCCGGGGAACCTACAGGCAACAACCCTGTCAGTGCTTCCATCTATATGTCATTTCTTTCCCAAATGATCTCCTCCTTGTCATTGCCCCTGTTATCTATCTGCGGAGGTGTGTGAATTCTTCTACGGCAGGTAGCAGAAGTGTAGCGACGTAATATAATACTTCAGGATTCGCTACAGAACGAAGTATCGCACCCACCGCTGTACGGACAACACCTATCGAGAGTTCTCTCCCCCTTACCTTGCAGCACAGTGTAGCCGTATATGGTGAACAGCCACCAGGCGGCGCCTCTGCGCACCTCGCTCTGCGTCTTGACGAGGGTTGCCGCGGCGCGTTGGATGAGATATCCGATGACGGTCGTCACCAGCATTGCACCTGCAACGCGTGTTACCAAGGTTACCACCGGTTACCATGGTTACCACCGATTACCATGGTTACCACCGATTATCATCGCGCTGTAACCACGGCCAAACATTCGCGCGTTCTCCTAAACTTTCTTCTATCATTTTATTTCTTTTGTTTTTCGTATTCTTCTAGAGTCGTTTTTTACGAGCCGCCAGCTCAACTACTGCTTATATGAGATTGATGCATCAGGCAAAATTATGAAAAAGACAGATAAAATGGAACAAGATAGGCACTGCCTATCTGGTAACTTCTGTAATGTTGTTACAGTGTTGCTATGGTAGTTGCCACACAAGTAGTCTACACCACTAGCTCGAAAAAAACCTGCAGATAAGGTAACGTGATGCACGTTTCAGATGTTTTAGAGTGAGCGTGGAATAAGCACGGACAAGGCGTAGATACAGACCCCTGGGGGGGTACTTATTTTTTTGGACGGTGAAAACACGGTGCAAAAAGATGGCTCGATGGTGGAAACATAGAGCAAAAAGATTGCAAGGAATCGAAAAATGGGGGGCAATAATGCGGCGCATATATATATACGTCACTATGCAGAGTACCCCCCCCCTCAGATATGGGCGCAGCGTGGACGCGGCATACCGGCGATCATGCACCAGACGCTGGGGCGGAATGGCTTCGTGAAGATGTACATGTCGTAGCCGGGCCTCGGCTTGCGTATCATTATCGCGCCCGTGACGAATTCGAACGGGATCGAGAAATCGACGACCTTGCTGCGCTTCTCCTGGATGGTGAACGGACCTGCCGCAAACTCCACCTCCTAGAGAAGAAAACACGTAGTCGACGAGTGAAACACATCGTGGGTAGCCGCAAACTCCACCTCCTGCAGAAGAAAACACGTAGTCGACGAGTGAAACACATCGTGGGTAGCCGCAAACTCCACCTCCTACAGAAGAAAACACGTAGTCGACAAGTGAAACACATCGTGGGTAGCCGCAAACTCCACCTCCTACAGAAGAAAACACATGGCGGCAAACAAAACACATTATGGGTAGCTGGCTTGCCTTCCTCTATACCTCCTTCCATCACACCTTACCTTCCTTTATACCTCCTTCCATCACACCTTACCTTCCTCTATACCTCCCTCCATCACACCTTACCTTCCTCTATACCTCCCTCCATCACACCTTACCTTCCTTTATACCTCCTTCCATCACACCTTACCTTCCTCTATACCTCCTTCCATCACACCTTACCTTCCTCTGTACCTCCCTCCATCAAACCTTACCTTCCTCTGTACAAGGCCGATGACTCCGTTCCACTTGTCGGTCCCATTGATCGGCGACCCCCACAGGTTGTCGGCCGGCGGCACGAGCTCGTACGTGAAGTTGTAGAGTCGCGCCAGCGCCTGCACCATCTCGATCGCGATGCCCCGCTTCGTCTTCCGCTTTCGGTAGCTGTACGGCGAGCTCTGCAACGACAGCAGTCCCACGCCTGAGACTGCATCGCTTCATTGTGCGAGACCCTCTGTGGACCCATCATAGGATGCTGAATCGTCAGCACGTCTTTTATTACCAGTAAACACTTTTGTTACTAGTGTAGGGAGGTTTTGCAACACTACATACATAGATGTTGCACAATAGAAATGTACTTCTAATAATATACTGTGGTTTCGCAATTCTACACTTGATTTTATGACAGGTTAGTCCAAGCAGAACTGACTTATCCATCTCAGTGAGATGACCAGATGACCAGATGACCAGGCCACTCAAATATTGCTCGCACTCACACACACGTGCACACGAGGGAGCCACCAACTGTTGCTTACAAACTTCATTCCGACCTTTATCGTCCTGCGATTGAGCCCGTACTTCACGCCGGGAAACAGCTGCTCTTCTGTCAGTCGCGCGACCTCGCCAGGCAGCCGGATCGATTCTAGCGCCACCTGGCCGCCGCCATTCGGCGGTCCATTGCGCTGGCCAGTGAAGGTGACCTCAGTGTACCAGGCTTCAATCTGACAAGAGATGGAGCAAAGTCAGGAGGTAGTGACAACGATAGAGAAGCAAAGAACAAAAAACAAAACAACCCCATCCAATTCTCATTCGGAACATCTTTCGCATCCGTGCCGCACACATACGCATATGCACACACCTAATTATTTGACTAATTAATTTCAAGAACATCTATAAACTATCACTTTGTCAAAGAATGGAAGGAGGCAACGAGTTAGAGAAATATCAAGCGACAAGGAAGTGATAAAAATAGAGAAAAAAACATTGCAGAGAAAAACCAAAAAACAACTCCATCCATTCACTATTCAAAACATCATTCATATACTCGTTCATCACTCGCGTTTACCATCAGTAACACCTAATTAATCTGGTAATCAAAATCGATTACCTAAATAATAGCGTACCTGTGTAGTCTTATTGAGGTTCAGGATGGCTAGGTGTAGGTAAGGTGGGAGATAAGACTGCAGGGCAGACATGTCACACGCTGTCTCCTCCTCATCGCTGTCCCACACCACCAGCCAGCGCGTGACGTACGTCAGCAGGTCCGGTGCCTCACCGCTCAGCTGCAAACAACATCGCACCGGCAAAATCAACAACAAACAAATCAACAAAAACAAATCACGCAGTCGCGCGTTGTGGAACGGTGCATGGAAGAACGTGTTCTGAATTTCGTGCAGAGAATGGACCCGACTTTATGAATGAAAGACTTTGTTGGGTAGGGTGTGGATGTTAAGGTTTAGAGTAAAGATGGCAGTCAGGTGTAGGATTGGGGTTATTGCTATGGTTAATATTAGGGTTAGGGTTAGGATTTGGCTTGAGATTAGATTTGGGTCAGGGTTAGGGACAACATTAGGGGTAGGGATGGCGTAGAATTGAGCTTGGGGTTACGCTCAGGGTTATGGGTAGGGTTACAGGTGGAAGTTAGGGTTATGGTTAGGGCTAGGATTAGGGTATGGTAAAGGTTATGGTAAGGTTTAGGGTAAGTAAAAGTATAATCATCATGAGAAAAAGGAAAATCATAACCCTAGTACCGTATGAAGGCATGTTGATCCTCCCGGGCCAAGGAACCCCTACCTGTGAAGTGCACGGCAGAGTGCAAAATTAACGCGAGTCCGGAGTCAAATACTCCCTGACTTCCTGTCGAATTCCCTGATTTGATATTTGCAGGAATCCGTGTGACTCCCTGAAAATTCTGCTATACTAACTAATTTGTTCCAGGCATCTCGGAATTACTGTATTTTTTCAGTAAAAGTCCAGAGAAAATTTGGCAGACGTGCAACCGCATAAATCTTCCAAATAAGCATGTGCGTTATTGTTAATATCTTTAATTTGAACTTCAGACTGCGGACTCCATCATTTTGCTTTTTGAGGGCGTTGGACTCCCTTGTTGAAAAGTTAATTTCTACCCCTGGCACAGTGTGCCGTAACCATAGAAATATATAGAGACACTAGTCTAACTAGTATATTATTTCTATGGGCCTAACACGCGCGCGGGCATGTACCTGTACGAACAAATGTATCACTGCCGCCGGTCGCAGCAGCAGCACGAAACCACGCAGATCCAGCCGATCAACCGCCGCGAGCAGGTCCTGCACTGTCTCGTTTGATCGTGGAGAGATGGCGCCACAGGACTCGGGCATTTCGTCCACCCCTAGGTTGAACGTGATGAGTGGAGTGTAGGATATCTGATCGAGACGGGACCGCAGCCACTGAGTCTCACTATCTGTAGTGCAAAGGTCACAGACAAAACTCATGTCACTATATAGCTATAGGTTACTGACTTCGAGGACTAAAAGTATAACTGAATTAATATAATTAATTAATTAATGTACTTAATTGTAAGGTTTATGGTATAAAATTATATATCGATGACTAATCAGTCTAATGTAAGGTTTATGATTAAATATTAATACTCGCAATAAAAGGATCCGAAATCAGGAATATAACGGCGCCAACAACTTACCTAAATGAGCAAATAGTTCACTCCTGTCTAAAATAAGACCAATTAACGACTTCAACAATCTGTTCCAATCGACATTCCTAGGCTGAGATATTGACTCAATTGTAATCATCGTCATTTTAGACAGCTACACCCCCCCTCCCAATGTAAGCTGGAGGCACCCCCCTCCCAATGTAAGCTGGAAGCACCCCCTCCCAATGTAAGCTGGAGGCACCCCCCTCCCAATGTAAGCTGGAGGCACCCCCCCTCCCAATGTAAGCTGGAAGCACCCCCCTCCCAATGTAAGCTGGAGGCACCCCCTCCTCCCAATGTAAGCTGGAAGCACCCCCCTCCCAATGTGCGCCGCGTCTCAATGGTAAAGCTGGAGCACACTACCCCTCACCAAATGTAATGCTGGAGGGCATTAAAGCAGGGCGGGGGGGGGTCCAGAAAACGCATCTAAGAAAGTCTAATTTTGAAAAACTTTTGACCAGACTTACGAAGAGCCAATCCCCTGTATATCGCATCGGCGCCGACAAGTTGATTGGGTCTTACGGTTAGTACCCCGGGCCCCCGCCCCCCCCCCCCCGACGTCTCCGGGGTAACCAAATCCATGTTACACTGTGCCCCGATCTAAATTTTTGGTTTATCGATAGCACGGTTTCTCCTGGTCGTACAAGATTTACCCTAACATTACGTTTCCTTGACGTTGTCCAGCGTGAAGAAGGGGAAACGACCAGAACCCGCGCAGTACGAGGTGAAGCATTAATCGCCGGGTATTTATACTTCATGATATATCATGAAGTTGTAATTAAAATAGATTATCATTAATGATAATTCCTTTAATGATAAAATAATCATTAATATGTTTATTATATTATTATTATTATATTGATTTAATAATTAATATTATTATGTTAATCGACGAGTAGTGCGAATCATCGGAATAACGGTGACTGTCTTCCACGGCCGGCGCGCTATTCGTTCGGTCGGGAGCGACGTTGTCAATGGCGACCGAGGCCATCGTTGCAGACGCACTCACAGGTCGCCAGGGACATCTACAAGAGATGGTGAACGCATAGTGTACATTTACATGCATATTAAAACGTAAAAACTTTAATGGAGTATATCGAGCGCATTAGAAAATGTGTGGCCCGATGATTCAGTACGCTCAGGGAGATTGAAGCTGGTCCGGGCATTGCCGTTTCGGTCACCCTGAGGATTGGCCGCGCCTTCAATGTACCTACATTCACTGCTGAGTGCCGGGCGCGCTCCCGGTGACGCATTTTTGCGCACTCTGTAAGGCCGAGCCGGGAGGCAGTTGGAGGGGAGTCAATCGTGATATTTTGGCTTAGCACGAAATCCTTCACGAATTTACTATATGGCAGCAATCGCCAAATTGACATACGATAAAGTTTTTAAAAAACGATTATGAAAGTAAAAGGGACATTCAGAAGAAGCATAACAGAGTGCCAGGCTAGCCTACTTAGTCAGTCGAGACTCCGCACAAATCATGCGTCGAGGTCGAGCAGCGCAAGACTATCCAGCAGTGAAGATGTAGCAGTAAACGACTCAGATTGAGGCCGGCGTTTCACCATCGAGCCGTGCAAAAACGAACGCGAACTTTGTCCCGCAGACGCGTATATCCTCTAACGCGCGACCCCGCCGGGTACGACCCGATGATCAAGCGTGATGCGAGCGTGACCCTGGAGTTGAAGCCAGACAGCGTCCTCACACTAGTGTTGGCTATCGGTTACTGATATCGTCTCCAGTTTATAGATGTTCTGCCGGCTGCGCGTCATAGGGGCTAAAATGAAACTGCACTACTGACGTAATATTTTAACAGCCTAAATGCGGAAGTTCATAATGGTCCTCGCTGGATCCATGCCTATACCATCTCTCAGTTTCCTCTCTACGTGGTCTCAGACCCTAGTGTATTGGAAGCGCGTCATCTCATTTACTCGCATATTCCTATCTTCTTCTTCCTTCATCGTCATACATCCAACTCTCTCTCTCTCCTACTCCTCTTCCTCTACCTCGACTCTACTAATGCCAGTCTTCCTCCGATCTTCTTCTCCCCCATCCTTCTCTTCCGACTCGCCAAATTACGATCTAAATTGTATTCAATCACCTCTACCCACCCGCTATTCGTCTCACTCGCCCTGTCTCTCTTGTCTTGACCTGTTCTCTTGCTGCTCTCCGCCATCTCGGCTCCTGGCTCCCTCTTCTCATCGCGATCCTGCCAATCTCTCCTGTCAGTCGTATACTCTCGTTCTCTGTTCAACATCGAACAGGTACCCCGCTCTGCCTCGCTCTCTCACCCATCTTCGTCGCCAGCGCGAGTACGCGTACTATGGGAACGGCTAATCGACCGGCGGTAGGAGCGTATAGCCGGTGCGGTCGAGCGGGAGTCGCTACCTCATACGTACCCCCCTTGCCCGCCACTGCGCGAAGGGGTCTGGCGCGTATGGAGGCTTCTTACGACAAATACCAAACGCGTACGTCACGAGTACTTCATAAGAAATCTATTCGTTGATACAGCGTCATTTCCGTATATCTGACGCCGTGCATAACCGGCCCCGTCCCGCGTCGCCTACTACCCCGCCTTCGTCTCTAGCAATGCAAAGGTACACACTTGTTATCCTAGCCCGAGTACTAGCGGAGGGGGAGAAACTCCACTTATTCTACTGCGTTAGAGCGGAGAAACGGGGGATGGTTGCCCAAGCTGCTGTGAACATATGGCGGCTACCAAGGGTGACCGCCTAAACAACTTCTGCAGGGTGGTTCTACCTTACGACTACTATTAACCACATCGAGCGGGAGCGCGGAGGCTGCATCTGCGCAAGTCACATATTGAGCGAGAGCAAGAGTGATGCAATCCAGACGTTTACACCAGTGGGAAGCGATGGGTCACAGTATTCGCTCATATATAACTAATGTCCAAACGTATGAGCGACGCAGTGTAAAGGCAGTTGCCTCAAAATTACTAAGTATACACCTACTAAATAAACAGAGGGCAGCAGAGGGTGGAATCCTCTGCTCCTTCAGACTAGGTCGGCGATCGTAGTGCTAACAACATCAGTAGACTACGAAACCTAGCTGAGTCGCGTTGCCGAGCATACAAAGGCGAGAAGCATAGCGTCGAACAGCTATGAAAGAGCGACCAGCTTGTCATCACAAGAGCCGATCACACATGTCTTCAAGTTTACGGCAGGCAGGGCCCATAGCAGCCTCGCACTTAGTAGTCATTTCCTACCAGCTGTAAGAAGCGTGAAATCACGAAATTTGTTGAGGGGCGTTCACAATCAATGGTCATGGAAATTCACAATCTCAATGCTTAGTAGCGGTAAAAAACCTTAGAACACACACACTAAATGTACTATGCCGAAACTTTGTGCAGTTTCACTCCTCCGTTATAAATGAAATATATACCTGCCTACAAAGTCAACATGACTTTTGAATCGCGTTCGTATGCGCTGCGTACAGAACTCAAACAAATATATACAATATCTAGACGCCAGTCAGCTACTGAGCCAGTTTATTCTTTTTTTATTTCTTTTCGCCCTTACATTATCATTCATTCTCAATTGAACACATATGTGCTTCCTTCTCCAGTTGTAGATCACTGTGTCGATTTGCGCTTGATACCAGCAATCACCCGTTCCACACACCTCGTCTTTCATCCTCGTCGTGCACTCCTGCTCTACTACACATTGTGTGTATCTGCCAAATTTTGCCTACCCCTACTCAACCGCATTTTATTAAGTAATACCGTAAAAACCATTTAATGTTTGAATGACTCGAAGGTTGTAATCAATAAATGCATGTAAAATAATTCCGTAAGTTGCGAACAAAAAAATTGAGTTAAAGTCTCGGGTAAAACATAGAAAAAATATCATAGACACAAGGAAAATAACTAGAAAGTGCATTTGTGCCCCCAACTACATGTTACTCGAAGCCTTGTTCTCCCCATAGATGTGTAGCTAATACGAAGTTTGGCTCGCCTGCCTAATGGCCAATAGTGGCCGACGGTCACTCATACCAGGGAGTAGGGAAATAACCGATCACAAAGAGTACACGTCAAGGTCTCCCCTAGTCGTCAAGCAAAGTGTGTGGCACCCGGCACCCCTGGCATACCCGGTCGCACCATGCTCGCCAACCTTCCTCCCCCAAGGATGTAGTCAATATAGCCAAGTTGGTACCGGTTACAGGGCATCCACTTAGGGCCGCGGCGCGAGTTAGTATGAGGCAGAAGGGAAATATGATCAGTCGAACGGTAAGAGGGTCAAATCAGAACGGCGTATGCTGGACCGCTGGCTTGTGTACGCGAATCACTCACTCTCTCTCCAAGATCCTGTTAAGTCTAGCACATGTTTGGTAGGCGTCTATGTGCAATAGGGCCCGCAGTTACCTAGAGCAGAAGAGAATATATCAAGGTCCAAGGTCAAGTCCAAAATAAAGGTGTAGTGACCTGTTTTGGTAGGCGCTAGGTCAATAAGGGCGAGACTGAGAGCACCGGAAGGCCCAAGATGATCAAGGAATAGATAACAAGTTGTCAATAAATAGGGTCTGGCATTGCGAACCTGGTCAGCCAGTACCGTTGCCCTCACCTCTGCGCCCGAAGATCCCGTAGGTATACGCCAGTGGCGTAGCGCTAGGTCGCAATTTAGGCCGGACCACCCGAGAGCAGTGAGCCGGAAATCATCACTTCCCAATCGTCAGGTATAAACGTCAAATATACGGCTCCGGCAGTGACGCTCGTTTTCTTGCTAACC